CGCTGTCATCCTCAGAGCACCTTCAGGTCCAGCAGTGAGGCCAGAGTCCTTCTGTGTGGACGTGAACCTGTTGTTAGGACCGTGTTATACCCACGGACTCAAAGCTGCTTTACTCCCCGGATCTGCGTCAGAAGTCGTTGTCAAATTGAATCATGCTTCGAAATGAGCTTCAAATTGAATCACCTTCTAATTTGACTCGACTGAATTTAATTTATTATTTCTATTCTGTACAAATGTAATAATTGACGATTTAAATTATGTTTGTGTTAAAAACCTGATCTTGTTTCCCGTGTTTGTCTCTCGTGTCCATCAGGCTGTTTGATGTGGGAGGTCAAAGGTCAGAGAGGAAGAAGTGGATTCATTGTTTTGAGGATGTCACAGCCATTATTTTCTGCGTGGCGCTCAGCGGATATGACCAGGTGCTGCACGAGGACGAGACCACGGTAAGGACACGTGACTCTGTCACTGCCAAATAACCTGTTTACAGCATCAGAGCTGTCTTCCAGTGACTCCGTCCCATGTTTGTGCATTCTGGATTTAGGGAAACAAAGGTCACGGCACACACGACAAGCAGCCAGTATAAAGATAGATGTTTGTCACATGTAAGCGGACATAAAGCTTGTGACAGAGAAATGTCTGCAGAAATCAAGCCGTCTGAAAGGGTTATATATAAATACCTAATGCGTTCCCATTAGGAGCCACAGCCTGACTCTGTGGTAAACCACACGTCGTGCTGCACAATGAACTTCTGTGGAATTATCCTCTGGGCTTTTACTCACTTCCTGCTGCAGAAGGAGGACGCTGAAGTCCCCACGGAAAATAGTTTTCAGACTTTTTTGTTTAACAAAAGTCGTAACTGAATGCAAAGTTATTTTTCTCCATGCAAATGATTCTTCCCTGCAACGTACAATAAACAAATTTCTAGCTTGAACACACGAATGTTCCACATGCACGGCGGCTGTAGAGTCCGGGACAGGTGACGTCACTGCAGAGAAGAAAGAAGTGGTGACATTAACCGCAGAGGATCCCTAACGATTACATCGCGTAACCTAAAACAAATAAGCTGATTTGAATGCACAGCACTCGCTGCTATTTATAAGCATAAAGTGAATCCTGGGAGAATTCCAGGAAGATGTGTTCAGGTGCTCATCTATTTATGCAGCTGGCATCAAGCTTCCCTCTGAGCTGGGAGCACCAGAAGACTGGAGAGGAAATATCCATCACAAAATGTGCTCACAAATAGCTTCGTCCTGTTTTTGCCGCTTGCATTTAAAATCTGTTGTTTCTGTGCCTCCATATAAATAGCGGTGCAGCTGTAAACAGGCGGAGCTTTGAGCGGTTTCACAGTCGTGCATTTGTCTTTACAAACCTGTATGGAAGAAGCAGAATCCCACTGAAAGAAACAGCCTGGACCTTTTTCAGCGACGAGATAGTGATTCTGACCGTGAACGGCTGCCTCTGTTACCTCTGCACCAGTGCCTCAGGAGTTTCAATCAAAAGTGTCGCACTTAATGATCGCTTGACAGAAACTTACAGTATTGCTAATGTCATGAACGTGAGACGTGATGTGACAGCTGGAAATCCCAAGACTCAACAGGACAGATCCATCCAGCAGTGAACACGCTCTTATGTTCAGACACCAGCTGGTAGAGGTGGGAATCACCAAACCTCCCACGATACGATATTATCACAATACTTAACGCACGATACGATATTATTGCAATTTTTAAAAATATTTTGCGATATTCAGATTCTGTACATAAAGGTAAACTTTATCAATATTCATTTTCTCTAATATCAAAGTCTCACACTCAGTCTTTCTCTCATTTCAGTTTGATTGTTGACAAACTGAACGGTTTGTATTACAGTCTAGTCCAACTTAACTGAATCAACCATCTGGTACAATTATAGCTATTCTGAACTATGCAGTTTATGAAAACTATGCAGCCCCTTCAGCAACTGAAGAATTTGAAAGTAAATTAAAACAAAATATAATTTTACATTAAATAAAAAAGTTTTAAACTTAATTAAAATAAAACATGTCTTAAATTAAAATAAGTAAACTGTCATGTTTATTAAACACATTTGGACAGTGAAGGAATGTCAGGATTCTTGCTCAGAAAAAGGATCAACATGCTCTGAAGTCAGAGCACAAAAACCTTTTTGTAACAAAGTATCGATTTCTGCTGTCCCTGTATCCATACATTATTAGCAAACAAAATATCACGATACTACACAGTATCCATTTTTCCCCCCACCCCTACTAGCTGGAGTGTTTTTGTTTTTGTAATCTGACTGATTCACACTAATATTATTGAACCAAACAGTTTTCAACGAGCTGCTGCATCCTGTCAGTTTTACTAGCAGATGCGTCCGTATGCGCACAGTGAGGATGCTACACGACCCGGCAGTAATGGGAGTGATACATACTGCACATCCTTCTGGGCAGTTCATCAAAGTCGCTGATAGGCTGTGGATTTAATTAGAATGGCGATATTTCCCATTATACTGATCCCTGCTGGACGGGAGATTTTTCTTTTCCCCATCAGACCGAGATCCTGCGTCTGCAGTCCTCACTGCTCTGTCTGCTGACGAAGGCTGTTTCATGCCTGCATTTGACTGTGTTTAATGACGTTTGAAATAGTTTTCCCAAGAACTCCCTGAATACTAGAGATCGCCACGGTCACATGACTCAGTCTTTTAATGCCACTATACACATGTACAGTGAGATCCACAACATCTGCAGATGTGTGGGGAAAAAGGAGGGTGAGGTGCACAGTTAGTGTGCAAATATACAAATAAAAGTGTTATATTTACAGTGTGTTATTGCACAGTATTGACAGTAGTTTATGTACAGGGGGACGTCCTTGGATTGGGGGGTGGAGCTGTGTCGTCACGTGTGAGCTCAGGGTGGTTATGAAGAAACTGTTACATTATATCAATGTGTCAATGTGTTGTTATTATTATTATTATATATTAATAAATAATGGTGGCAAAAAACAAAATAGGTTCATTCACATTTCACTGTTATGAACTCCTTGACATTATACATCCCATAATCCCCCACACACGACATTTATAACACGTTTAAACATGAGGTGAGTTACAGCTTCAAAGATAAAGCTGAGTGAATGTTTCTTAAAGCCTTTCAACACTTGCAGATGTGCTGCCATTGTAGCCGAGATTTATTCGTGGCTGTTTCCGAGGACGGAGACGAGCTGAAAGAGCCGCTCGCCGCCTTTCTGACCTTTTAAAAAGCATCAGTGTGTTAGAGACATCGACACGGGTCACGCTACACTCAGTACTGTTGCTTCGTTGTTGTATTGCGTCTACTCCAGCAGCTCTTGTGTTTTTTCTGTCACCTCCTCATTTCTGTTGGAACGCTCTAACGAACACAGGCGTACCCCCCCACCCTTTGACGAGACGACTGCTGTATGTAGATACTGTCTTCCTGCCTAAACACTTTCCTTTTAGCACTTGGGATGCATGTGTGTGTGTGGGATAGAAGAGGGGGGGTTAAAAAGGAAGTGGGACCCCTTGCATTTTCTGTTCCTGCTCTAAGCTCCGCCCTGCAGCATCTCTGGCTACTTCCACTCCTCCTGTCACTGTTGCCATCGACTGTCTTCTCTAACCAATCAGCAGTCAGATCTTCTACAGAAGCTCCACCCACAGACAGGTATGAAACCACCCCGATAGGTGTACACACACTCTGAGAGTTGAAAGCAGCGCCTCTTTGTGTCTGTGAACCGCTCAATCCAAAAATGTTGCCTGGCTTTCTCCTCTCTCGTTCTTCCTGGTAACTTTTTAAAGCTCGTCTTAATTTCCTAATTTTCTATCGATCTGTTTTCCTCTAATCCAATCAGCTGCTTCTGCTCGCCCGTCCTGAGCAGGAAAGAAATCAAACTGGAGAGAAACTGCTTTCAACTCTTTCTCTGAATCAATGTCACTGTAGCATGAACAGGTTTGTTACTGATGAACAAATAATCCAGGCCTCAGTTTTGTTTCATCTTCTACTTATTTTAGTCGCCGACCCAACGGTGGATACTAATTATTCATTTATGAAGCACATGCATTGTTCCTGTTGGGCCGAGAAGATAAATATAGTCAGAAAACACTTGCAAAGCTTTTAGTTTCAAAGTGCAGTAACTTGAGCCTCCTCTTCCTCCTCCTCCTCTCTGCCTTTACACTTCATTACCTCCACAAACTGTCACTGCAGCTTTTTCCTCACATACACGCTGCCAGCCGTGCAGTCGCCTCCTCCCCCTTCAAGCCTCACTCTGCAGCCCCAGAGTGAGGCTTGTGCTTAGCTACTCAGTGTAATAGAAGCTAACTGGCTAAAAGAGCTTTGCTATTTAGATCACTGATAATGTTGATTACTGATACGCTGATGCAAATACACAAACCCAGATACACGTGTCACTTTGCAAGAGGAACTTCCAGGACTTCTGTTCTTAGATTCAATTTAATTCCTCTTTGTGTTACGATTGTGTGCATGTGATGTGGGTATTCTTAATTTGGCTTTGTGTATGCATGTAGGTGAATACTATATGTTTCCGTTGTGTGCTTTTACAGTGTGTTAGAGGTTTAACAGCCCCGTTAACTCGTGCTAACGTCTCCCCCACAGAACCGCATGCACGAGTCTCTCAAGCTGTTCGATTCCATCTGTAACAACAAGTGGTTTCAGGAAACCTCCATCATCCTCTTCCTGAACAAGAAGGACCTCTTTGAAAGCAAGATCAGCAAGTCACCGCTGTCCATCTGCTTCCCTGAGTACACTGGTACATACAAGCTGCACCGGGACATCTCATGAAGTGTAGTTGTGTAAAGAACGAAAACTAGAAGCTCTCGAGAGTCCGAACATGCTCCGAGTTTTACTTTTAAGAGAATCTTTTCTATGGATTCATTTTATTTTTGTTTAAAAAGTTTGCAGTGCAGTAAAGGAAAGGCACCTGTGAAGGGGAGGTCAGAGGTCAAAGGTGACGCAAACTATAACGTGATATTTAGAAAATCCATATACCCTAAATGTTACAATACGAACAAAAGTTCAAAGATGAGACACATTTTATGGAAATTTGACCTTGAAGAAAAGGTCAGAGGTCACATCAGCGCTTACACAGCAGGAAACAATGTTTTAAATAGCTAAAGCATCACTTTGACCTTCGGATCTCGACTTTAAAGGAGGTCAGATATCAAATATGTGGCGATATTTGAACTCTTTATATGATGCTTTCTATATAGTGACAGTACACACTTGTAAGAGTGGAGCCTCAGTCATGATCTGCCCTCCTGCTTAGGCCACAGGTCACACTGACAGGTACAGTCAATGCTACAAATGCAGGACGTATTCAGAGAACTACATCAGCAGCTACAGCAGAGTTCCTGCAGGCTTTAAGAAGCTTTAGTTCCCAGCTA